CTCTCTTAGAACCAAGTATTCTTTGTTCGGCCATTAAGGCACGATCAACAACTTCAGCATATTTCTTTAACTTAAAAAGTTTCACTTTCTCCTTGACCTCTAGTCTCAACCCTTCTTCAAATTTCTTCGCTTTTGCAGACTCATCAGGAATTATGTAAGGAGCAAAATGCATCAGTTCTTCAAACTTAGCTTGATATTGTCCCACAGTCATATCACCTTGATAAAGATTAGTGAACTCGCGTACCTTCATGGTTTTCATAGTTTCAGGAAAATATTTTTCCAGAAATATCATCTCAAAGGCAACCCAAGTTGCAATCTCAACATCAGGCATAGCCAAGACAAATTCCCACCAATGATAAGCTTGTCCTTCCAGATAGGTAGAAGCAATGGTTACTTTCAGGTTTTCAGGAACTCTTTGTTCATTCATCTTTCTCCTCATTTGTCTTAACCATTCCTCTGCTACCATAGGGTTTGGATCACCCTTGAACACAGGTGGCCGTGTCTTTCGAAATTCTCCTTGGATCCTCATTATTTGATCATCTTGAGTTTCATGATGGGGTTCGTGGTTATTTGTCTCACGAATAGCAGAGGCCATATCCTGAATGGCTAACATTATTCTCATACTATCACTCACATCATTCTCGTTTTGTCCTTCTATTCCAGCCATCTTAACAATTGGACCTTTATTAGATAATTCCACAAGATTAAAATATATATATATAAATATGCTAAATATTAAAATAAGCATACTTATCACAAGGACAACGTAAAACACACAATGACAGACAATAAAAAGTGTCGATGCCAACGGAAAATAGACTAGTGAATCAAAGAATTTAAGTAAAGTAAATAAAATGACTGTATGCTATAATTATGAAAACTCCAAACTATGCTGAAACGTTCACACGATTTTAATAAAATCTAACAAAACTAAAAACTGCCACAAATCTTCATAAGTCGAATGCAAACCTATATGATACAGTAAAAAGAATTGCTAGTGTGAGTTGCAAAAATTAGTGCACACAATTAAGTTTAGATTAAATTAACACTTACAATTACTCAATACACCACAATCATGAAATATTGGCATGACAAACATAATTGTCTGATTTAATACGAATTTTGAAAAGTAAAACTAACAATTCATTAATCCATAGAATTTTATTTATTTTTTTTTATTATTTTTTTTTAAATACGTAATTAATCATGCCAATGAAAACATATAAATAAAACATTTATAAATTATATGAAGAAGAAACATTATAGAAAATCAAACATGCATATTAAACATTTATAAGTTGTTACAAACCTATTGCACAAAATTTAACAAAACAGTCACAAACCTATGTTACAAAGAACTTCCAACTTCAAAACCTCCATAAGGCTGCTCACAAAAACTATACATACCAAAATCAGCCTGTTAGATTTACACTATCTATTATTAGTCAAACTTTCTATTCATCATCAGAACTAATATCTATAATTTCGATGGGAGGGATAACAGGCTTAGGATGTTCATTTTCATCATCAGAACTTAGATTGATGACAGTTGGATCAGAATTTTGTGGTTCAATGATAACCACTGAAGCAGCTGACCCCACAGACTCAGCAGACAAAGCATCAAGGTCCAAAAGTTCCAAAAATGCTTCATCCCCTGGATCTGGGACATGGGGTAAGTTTAACTCCTGTGGTTCTGGAACATATGGTAAGTCTACCCCTGGTGGTGGCCACATATCAGCAGCTATAACTGCAGCATCTTCTAACACCTGGTTGTAGGAGTGTACTTCAATATTTAATTGACACTGACTCCTAATGTTGTTTGCTTGCAACCGACGTCTAACCACCAGTCTCTGCATTTCTGGTGTATAAAACATCCTTCTATTTCCGGTATCTATGACTTAACTACGTCCACATAAGCTTGGTGGTGTAGACGGCTGTGGAATTCTTCTTCGTTTATTGGGATAAGGCCATCGGGTCCCATTTGGAACCCTCCCCACGTATCATTGCTATGATCGGGTTGCATCCTAAACATTAATTTAACAGGTCAGTTAAATAACAAAACAATGAAATCGTAAAACTAGCTCTGATACCAACTTGTCACGACCCAACCCACAGATTTAAGTAATTTTGGGTTAAGACGTGATTTACACCTTAATTATAGAATTTAATAAAAACTATAACTAAAATGTGAAGAAACATTTAAATAAATAAAGTAAATATTTCACAT